ACCTAGTAGAAGTCTTCTACCCTACTCTATTTAATTAATAAATGGACAAAATGATTGATAAACCAGAATTTGAATATAAATAATACCAGTGGGTAAAATTAAGCCCAATTGGTACAGCAGTATAAGATGGATTTTACTTTAAGTAAGAGGCAGTGTTTTCTAGCTAACAGGCTATACCAAGAAAGAAAATATTGCTTGGCTATATAGTGAGTTCCCGTCACTGGAGTTGTTTCAGGACTTTTTAACTTGAGGTCTATGAATAGAATTAATGAGATCTTTGAACTTGGATGAGAGTATGATTATATCTTTATTTTCTTTTTTTTGAGTTGGAGTCTCACCCTGTCGCCCAGACTGGAGTGCAGTGGCCGCTCCCGGCCACCGCAGCCTCGATCTGCTGGGCTCCGGCTATCCTTCCGCCTCAGCTTCCGAGTAGCCGGAATTACAGGCATGCGCTACCACGCCCGGCTGATTTTTTTATTTATTGTAGAGATGAGGTCTCGCCTGCCCAGGTGGGTCTCGAACCCGCGGGCTCAGGCAATCCACTCACCTCAGCCTCCCAAAGGCACGGGATTACAGGCTGAGCCACCAAGCCCGGCTATTTATTTTCAAGAAATACATTTTTATTAACTTCTAACTGAAATGTAGTATTTTCTTCACTGGGTGAGTTTATACTCGTATCTACTTCAAAATTAGAGTTGTACAAACCTACTCTAGATCACATACATTAACAAAGAAGCACTTCTATTACCACATCATGGTTTTAAAAAAATAGTTCAATAATTTTATTTTAATGTAGTCCTTTGTGTTTTGTTTTATGCATTTACATTTTTAAAATTTTGAGAACAAATTCATGGGCTTCACAAGATTTCCAAAGGTGCATGGCAAAAATCAGTTATAACCCTGGATTAGAGAGGTGGCTTTAGGGTTGCATCTGTGTATCTGCACATGCATACAAATATAGTTTTAAAATATTATGCTTTTGTTATAAACATTATCTTAAGTCACAAATGTATAATTGCTCTTTTGTCATGTGGGTTTAATGTGTTCTTTAATTGATCATCTTTCAAATATCCAGTCTGTGTATGTGTTATTCAAAAATAGTTAAGTTTTTAAACAGCATTATGGGGAAAACTTTCACTTTTTGATTCTCCCCCCACCTCCGGTGCTGACCAAGGGGTTGGGCAGGTTTCTAATTCCAGTGAAGTCTAGCAGCAGAGCACTGATTTAACGTGCTTTGAAAGTTGGCAGGGTTATGGCTCACAAATGTGTGGCTGCTGTGAGCAGACAATTGTTAAGTAGATAATGCTGGCAGTTATAACTGGGGCAATTTTGAAAGTATGTTGGCTTGTTGGTTTTCACAGCAGGCTGTGTTTTCTGGCAGGTTTTTATTTATAATGTTTAGATGTTGGGTACTGGGTGAATTTTTGTTGGAGTTCATAAAACGTGCATGCTTCTCTGCTTTGTTCGTTTTTTAGTCTAGGCAGAGTCTATGTAGAGGATGGAACTGTTTGCCATTTCAGAGATCCACTGAAGTCTGAGCAGGCACCATGGGGGGTGTGAGCCAGATTGTATTCTAGCATGAGTGGGAAGAATACCTGTATTCTAATGCCAGGCCCGTCGAGGTAGCTGATAGCTGCAAGTCACTGATGTTTTCTTTCTCTCATGCATCCATTTAACCATTTTTTTTTTCCTGAAACTCCTCTTCAACTTGTAAGATCAAAGAAAAATAATTAGTATCAAACTCCCTTTAGCAGATAAAGTGCCTGCTGCAGGAGGTGCATCAGATGTAGGCGACGTGGGCTCAGGTCAGGGGCCAGCTTACTGGCTGTTCCTTGGCCCTGCTGCTGGGCAGGCTCTTTCTTGGCAGCCAGTGCATTTTACCTCTTTGGACCTTCTATTTTTGCTCTTTAGTGGTGATGAAAATTGTACCTAACTCTTAGCTTTGGGAATTAAATGCATAACTCTTAGTACCTGGTACTAAGCCCTTAGTATATGTTAATTATAGTAATTATTATTTCTTGTTGGTTTGGTTACTACATACCCAATTTTCAGGCTTAGGTAATTTTGTCAGTTTTCTTAGGTTTGATAAGATTCTGTAGACTTATATAAACCAGCCATTGACCAGAATGTTTATCTGTTAATTCATTAAGGGGATAGTATGATAATGAATATACTGTATAACATCAAACTAAATAGTTATTTGTTAACACTTAGGTGGTGCAGATGAAATAAAATCAAAGTTGGTTTTTATAGGCTACTTTGATTTATGCTTGGTAAAACCTGGAAAAGCTGTTTCATAAAACATCAACAGGCATACTGTTACTTTTCTGCCACGAGGGCTACTGCTTGGCGAAGACACTTGCATCTACTTAGTCCCTTGGCTTTTTGTTTTTTTTTAAATCTCTTAACATTTTATACAAGGTCAGTAGCTAGACAACATTAGTAAAGATAAATTTGTGTTTGCAGCTTCCTTTTGCACAATAAAGCGTAGTAATTTAGATGTCAGGGATTTTCGTGAGGATGGTTAAGTTGATGGTCTCCCCCTTTCCTTGTTTCCTTTACCAGTTCACTGAGGATTCTTTGTGCTCTTGCTGGTGTCCCTGGGCATTCCCTCTCATCCTTGCCAGCCACTGGTGACGCTTCTGTTTTTCTGTTGATTCTCTAAAATTTGGTGGTTTGGAATTATTTGTTGACAATTCTTAGGGAAACTGATGCTTTCTTGTTTCTTAGGATCCTCTGGTATATCTATACGGTTTTATTCTTGTCACAAATAATGTAAAACCATTTAGTTAGCAAAATGACTACCATGGGATTAATTTGCTTTTTTGGCTTAACTTCTTCTATAAGGGTGAGTCTTTGGAGGAGCCCAGGAATAGTAATTGGAGTAATTTACTAATTAATTTGGGACTGTTAAGTGTAATATAAAGATGGTTTCAGGGTGGTAGTGGTGACAGTATCAGAATCCTGGGCTAAAAATGTGCTGCCTGTGATAAAAACTTAAATTTAAACAACTAAGTTTGCATAATAATTTTTGTTTTCTAAAGTGCTATTTTAGGAGTGTGTGGAAGAGGTAGTAGATAGAAGAGTGGAGACTGAAGTGGAAAGATTTTTGTATGATTCCAGAGTGGTGCAGCCAGTGGACTTGGGAGAAAGGGCATGGAGGAGAGCTGGGGAGAGTGCAGAGGTCAGGCCAGCGGTGTCAGATAAATTAACAAAGACACACAGGTTTATAGTGGAGGAGCATCTTTCACTTTTGGTTATAAAAGTTTTAACTAGCGTAGCATTGGAGACATTTGAAAAGGCTATTCATTTGGCTCTGCTTATTTCTGGATTCAGACCAGATGAAGAGGCTGTTGACATAATTTCTGAATGACTGGAGTAAAACTCCTACTCATAGAGCTCCCATTTTGCTGACTCCTTAAGCTTTCTCAGGTCTTACCCCCAAAACCTCCTTTACTCCAGAATCTATGGTTCAGTGTCATTTTTAAACACACATACTCATTTATTTCGTAGTTTTCACTTGCACAGTGGGGAGCAGCACAGTCTGGCAAGCACAGTAAAGCTTCAGGGCTAGAGATGTGCCTTACTGTCCCATTTTTTGCTTCACTTTTCCTGTGGTTTATACAGTTGTTACCCCATTCTAATACAGGTTGAATATCTCTAACCCAAACATCTGAAGTATGAAATGTTCCAAAATTGTAAACTTCTTGAGTGCCAGCATGATCCTCAAAGGAAATGCTTACTGGAGCATTTTGGATGTCAGATTTTCAGATCAGGATGCCAAATTATTTTCCAAAATCTGAAAATACTTGAAATCCAAAACATATCTGGTCCCAAGCATTTCAGATAAGGGATACTGTATCCCATTTCCCTATGATTCTTCAGATAAATATTTTTTAGTTAATAAATATTAGTAAAGAAGAGGCTAGGGGATTGGGGAAAAGTAAAGAAAGGCTTAAGTGTGACGGACTTTGAGCGCCACAGAAATGATTTGACTTGTGAGAGAATGAAAGCCATTGCAAAGTAGAAAGCTAAGGAATGATGTGTTTAAACATGATTTCAATTGGATTTTGGATTTATTTTGATGGATTAGATGTGGAAGGTGAGAGAAGAATTGAGGATGATTCCATTGGTACAGCGGAATATTTACCCTTGCTTGAGGCAGTGAAAGTGATCTGTGAGTTAGAAGTAGTCTTTGGAATTTTGTTGGAAGTTGTGCTTTTTCCAGGTTCAAGAAAATAATGAGAAAGGGCATCCCACAGTTGTGGACTCCAGCCTACCTTGCATTGCAATAGGGAATATGTATGACTAGAATTCCATTGTGCTTTTTTCTGGGAGTAAGATTTTTAGATGGATTAAATTACATTCATTAATTTTTGGGCAAGTAGCTCATATTGAAAATATTACAGTTATATATTTTGCAAAAATTAAGTATTCATTTATTCACATTTATGGTAGAATTTGGATTGGTATTTCCCTCTTGCTTTTAAAAAGAAGTCTGCTCATATAGACCTTAGAATCACAGAGCCAGAAGGGACCTCAGGGGGCAGTATAGGCATGGGCTTTGGAGTCCAGTGGATCTGGGATTTAATTCTGAATCTGCCACATCCCAGCTTGATCATGGCACTCACACTGTATGAGTTTGGGTGGCCAGATCCTGAAATAGGGTTTTAATAATAATATCTGTTTAACTGCATTGTTGTACATATTGCATGTCATGGTGTGCCTTGATGTATGTCAGCTGTAGATAACATCAGCTACTCTATAGCCATTATTTCACACGTTAGACAAGTCAGTCTAAGAGAAATTGTGAATAATCCGTTCAAACTTACAAACTAAACTTGAAGATCAAAAATTCCCTCTTAGTTTATCTCAGATGTTTATGGTAAAGAAACATTTTCAAAAAAGTGATGAATAGGCTTTTTCCTTTATTATGTTATAAAAAGCAAATCCTTCGGAGTGTTGTTTTTCCAAAAATGTATCATTTTGTTTTCTTTTAGGATTTGGAGTTCCATGGAGTGATGAGATTTTATTTTCAAGATAAAGCTGCTGGAAACTTTGCAACCAAGTGTATTCGAGTCTCTAGTACTGCTACCACTCAAGATGTAATAGAAACACTCGCAGAGAAATTTCGACCTGACATGCGAATGCTGTCTTCTCCCAAGTATTCACTCTATGAAGTGCATGTCAGTGGAGGTTAGTGCATACAGGCCGGGTTGGTAGAGGTGTGACCTGACCTGTTAATAGCTTGTCCAGGGGCATTCTAAACATGTGTACTTCTCATCTTCCTCTTTTTGTTTCGTAGAGGATAGGGGAGTAGTTGACAGGCTGGTAAAACTTTATGTCTGGGAAGTGCTCTTATTAATCCCTGGCACATTATTTGTTAGAAGTTAGAATTAATACATTAATTTTACATGTGCATATTTCTCCAGTCAAGTAGCATGACATTCATCCAATATAACTGGGTGTCACATACATTGATTATATAGTATGCTACCTGCTTCTTGAGATAATATCATAAGTACTTTTGACCCAGTTAAATATCGTATGGGCATGAGTCATCAGTCTTGCTGGAATAGTTTTGTATTCTGAAACTACATTTTCATTATTGTTTGGGAATAATTAGGGCATCTTAAGGAAACCTCTTTAGGTATTTAGTAATTTCTTCTTGTATTAACATTAGCTTTGTTTCTGAAAACAATTTAGATAGCTACATCAAATGACAACTTAAGTTTCACTAATTTAGAAAAGTAGAAAATAAGTTTATAACATTTTTGGGAGTGCTTTGGGAAATGTTGAGTAACCTGTAAAAAAAAATTACAAATTACAATTAGTACAGCTTAATTGATAATGTTTTTTATAAGTTGTACTTTTTGATCTACTATAAATTTTACAATAAGAACGACTCAGTAATTTTGATTTGTAGCAGAACTTCAAACTTATTGTTCTATCCCTAATTTGTTATTCTGGTTTTCATTTCTCATCTTTTCAGTTGATAAAATATTTTAAAATTATGTCTATATTGTGTTAGCATTACTATTTATCTTTGAAATTCTTTCTGGCGACTCTTGATTCCTTTATTTAACACTTCTTTGGCTGTAGCTCCTATTTTTACCAGCTAATTTTAGCGTATCCTGTATTTAACTACTTATAAAATCTTTGTCAACATGATTGGCAATAGTAACAGCAATATCATTATCATCCTCATGGTGTCATTGTTTTTTGTTATAGGGATAGGAAACTATTGCTCTTTTAAAATTTAAAATTTTGGCATGGCATCGAAAGTGCTTTATCAAATTAGTAATTCTCTTCCCCTGCATGAGGCTGTAATTAAGATACCTTATACCTTAATTATACTTTTCCTCCTACCTATATTTATGACAGAAACAACCCATCCTTCAAGTCCTGGCCTGGTCTATGTTCTCTGTATCATTTCATTGGGTAACCTAACTCCAAAGTGATCCTTCATCTGTACTACCTCACATAGTGTTTTTATTGTTATAGATTATTACTAATATAACAGAATCCTATTATCCAAAGATACGTAATACCTGTAAATGGCCCCTTAAAAATAAACACATTTAAAACTTGGATTAGGACTGAACATGGTGGTGTGCACCTGTAGTCCCAGCTACTCAGGAGGCTGAGAGGGGAGGATCGCTTAAGCTCAAGTTTGAGGACCAGCTTGGGTAACAGAGAAAGACCCTGTCTCTTTAAAAACAAAACCCAAAAAAACTGAAATCAAATTTTATAGTACATTGTGACAAAAAGGTTTAGTAGCCACCTTTGAAAAGTGAAGTCTGTCTCATATGTAGCAGTTATAGTTTCAAGTATGGACTAACAATACAAAGAATTCGAGCTGTCTTCCTTGACATGCATGTGACTGTGGGCTTGATCATGAGGAGCAGTGTGGTTCTAGACTTGAACCAGTATTCCTCAGAACTTCTTCCAATCTTGGGAAGTCAGATCGTTTTCCTACAAGGAGCTTGTGTTATTATTCACCCTTGTCCATTGTGTCTTGAGGTATTAATTGATCTAACTGCCTGTTCTCATTTATTGCTGTCTGAGTTTATGCTTGGGGCAGTTTTTTATTATTCATCCTTGTCCATTGTGTCTTGAGGTATTAATTGATCTGAGTGCCTGTTCCTCATTTATTGCTGTCTGAGTTTATGCTTGGGGCAATTTTTAATATTACTTTCATCAGCATTGAACAGTCTTGACCTCTTCTGCAAGGTGTAGCATTTCACTTTGCAGTTAGTATGCCTGGTAGGCCCTGTCATACGCATTCTGACTGGGATGATGGTGACTGACAGGATGCTGGGCAGTGGGCAGGGCTGGGCAGTGGGGAGTAATGTTTGAGTAGTAAATCAATTTCATAAGTGTTGAGTTTGTTATTAAATATTTTCATTTTATGAAAATTTTATTTTTTTACTCAACCCTGAAAATACTGGTTATATATTACTGATATTCAGGTTATGAAGTACTCCTGTACACATATTTCTGAAATAGGCATTCCTGAAAAAGCTCACATTCTGCCAAATTTTACACTAACAGGTAGAGACTTTCAGGAAAATAAAGATATGGATAGGTCACTCAAAACCTGTTTAAGTTTGTAACAGTTCCTCAACAAAAGTCAAAAAAGTATGAGCCTAGTGCATGAATTTCTCCAAGGGCTGAGGAGGAGTCCTGGAGAATGGGGCCTGACTTGTGTGTGGAGCTTGTGACATCAACTCTGTAGCTAGCTCCTATTTCCTTAATTTTCTTCACCCTGGAAACAATTTTCTTGGCCAGTAGGAGCAGGTCCATTGTTCAGAGCCTTTGTCTCTCCATAGCCTCCAGTCAACTGTAGGCCTCTGGTACGTGGTCAGGCTGTGCGAGGCTGTCAGGGAGACCCTCAGCAGGGTGTGGTGGACCTGATCAGTGTGCCTGGGAGATTCGTTAGGTTTCTAATAAAGAAAGAAGTGATGTACCACACATGCACTTTACATAAGAAACAGTGATGGTAGCTTCATGGAGGTGAAACTTGAAGTTGGCAAGTCTTGGAGAGAAGGGTTAGATGCACAGAGATAGGAAGAAGAGTTCAGTAGTCACCTGTAAGACTGATTGATGGTGGGCTGTTGCTATTGATTAGTAGAGTATGACTTTAATGTGAGGAGAAAAATTTCATGACTCAGTAGTACATTATTCCCCTTGTTTTCTAGTTGAGTGTGGGATAATTTGATTTACAGAAATCAAATTACTAGTTTGCTTATAACAAAACCAAGGATACTTTTTTGCTTAGTTCATGTTTTTTCTCCTGTTTTCACAGTTAGCTCCAAATGTGAGAATTGCCCTGTTTAGTGGTAGTGTACATACTGTAGCAACAAAATATTGAATTAATTTAAACTATGATTTAGCATTTTGAACATTACAGTGTTGTCAACAGATACTTGTGGTAATAAAGTCTGTCTGTAAAATTAAATGTATATAAAAATGCTATATTAGTGCCATTAAATAAACATAGCTTATTCTTTTTTTCTCTTTTTCCCCTATTTCATGTTTTGAAGAAGAAAGAAGATTGGATATAGATGAGAAACCTCTAGTTGTGCAGTTGAATTGGAACAAAGATGATCGGGAGGGCAGATTTGTTCTTAAGAATGAGAATGATGCCATGCCTCCCAAGGTAGGAGCCCTGGATATCTTGTGCTGATCTTGGTCCAGGGCCAGATCTGATGGATAAACAGGAGATTGATATTTTATTACAGAAGTGTCTTCTTTTTTTTGCTTCTCTTCCTAAACTCTTTTACCCTCCTTCCAGAAAATAATGTCAAGGTAGCCCTTTTCTCTCTGCTGTATCCTTTTGTTTCACTGAATAATTCCAGATACGTACTGTTTCTCACTTTTTAAAAGAAGAGTTATGTATGCTTTTGTTAGTGAGAGATTTAATGATCAAGTGAATAAAATCAGAATTGTTTTAATAGGAATCAAAAGGGAAAATAAAACTTTAATAACATTTATGTGTGAACTTCTAGATATAACTTAGTAAGGCACATTTAAAACCTTTTTGTATTATATGTGCACAGTTAGAAGTTAGTAAACATGCTTGAATGATATTCTTTCATGATTTTAAAACTCTCGGGTAGTAGGAATGGAATCCTCTGCTACTATTCTTTTTTTGTGGAATACTATGATATGTTGATACAATTTGAAAATAACTGTATAGTTCTATGCTAAATTAAGTAGCATCTTGCACAAGAATTCATTATTGACAAGTGGTAGCAAATGCAAAGTTAAGACCATTTTGAGAAAAATCTTACATTTAAGTTTTTCCCCAAGAGATTGGGAAAAGACTGCCATTAATCACTTTGAGCAGCAGAAAGTTTTCATTTTGAGTGATACCAGAGTTCCATGTTGAAGAGTCCTGGATGTATGTGTAGCATGTGTTCTTGACCTTACTTGTAGTAGTGGCTTGTTGCGTTTGCAGCAGATACATGTGGGTTAAGATGGATGTCCGTTACTTGCTCTCCATGTGTCACGGTCATTGTGCACCACAGTCTCAGGTGTGGACCACAGACTTCATTGGCATGTGTTAGAACTCTTCTTAGTACCAGTATAATGCTATAAGTATCTGAAGTATCTGTGAATGGCAGTGGAAACGTTCTTAGCTTATAAAGCAGGAGGCAGTTTTCCTTTCCTTTTACAATAGCCACTTTTTTTCTATTATATGTAAAAATAATTTACGTGACATCTGCTAGCAGGCTGGGATTGTAGGTTAAAATACAAATTAAGAATAAGTAAGCAAATAAACAAGATGTGGAAACAAAATTAGAATTTTTTGCACAAACACAATACTTGTGACTGCTTCATAAAAACCAATTTATTATGACTACACTTAACATTTCCTTTGAAGTCAAAGAAAAATTTCTATAAAGTAGATACTGAATAGATAATGATTTAAGCTATTTTCATAATTTTCTTAGGTTCCATTTATTCAAGTTACTTTATGTAATTTATTTGGAGTTTTTATTTATTTAAAATCAGATTTCATGATTTTCACCCCAGCTTTCTTACTGGCTTCGGTTCTTTTGTTTTGCTTGCTTGTTAGTTTTAAAATGAGGTAAAATGTATATATGGTGAAATGCACAGATCTTAAGAGTACAGTTCAATAAGTTTTGGTAAATGCACCCATGTAACTGTTAGCCCAGTCAAGATAAAGAGCACTTTCATTACTCTAGACCTTCCCTTGTTCCAGTAGCTGTGTTTTAGCTGCAACGTATGAAGTGAAGTTAGCTAAGCCGTAGGTAGCTGAATGTGATCTCTGTAGTGGTCGACATGGTGATAATGTTACTTTTATCAGAAGGCTCAAAGTAATGGACCTGAAAAGCAGGAAAAAGAAGGTGTTATCCAGAACTTCAAGAGAACTCTCTCAAAGAAAGAAAAGAAGGAAAAAAAGAAGAGAGAAAAAGAAGCCATGCGGCAGGCTTCTGATAAAGATGATAGACCTTTCCAAGGAGAGGACATGTAAGTTAATTTTGGAAGTATTCCTATTTCTTTGTGCTCCAAACCAGATGTTCTTATTACAGCATACTTGTTAAATTATCAGGTAAATTATGAAAAGAATGCTTATCAGTCAGTAAGTGAATTTGGGTGTTCTTCCAGTTCTTGTGTGGAGGCTCTTACCTAAGCAGGCTTCGTTGCTGACAGTATCTGTCTTGCTGTGCTTGGGAAGACTCTTTGCACCCACAGTCTTGCTTGTTTTTCCTCTTCATCTTCAGCAAACGTTCCCTCTCACTTCTGCGGTTGTGGTTTCTTAATTCCTCAGGTATACTTAGCACCTCACTAGTGGTTGGCAAGGCTGGGGGAAAGCAGATTTTCCCTTTTACGGTCACATTGCCCTCTGGTTGCCTCCAACCCCACTCCTTATTCTTTAATCTGTCACACCAGCCCCATTGTAGGTGGACTTACCTTTTTGAAGGTATTTGAGGTTCTGACACAGCTGAGGGAGTAAGGTACTCAACTGCCTTTTCATTAGAGTAGAAAGAGACATTGGGAGAAACTGGACGTTTCCTTGAATGTGGCATTTCCAGTTCCTAGTTCACCCTCAGAGACTTTCAATTGTTTATTTGGCTATCATCTGCTTTTTTTTTTTTTTTTTTTAAGTTGAAGTCTCACTCTACCACCCAGCAGGTTGGAGTGCAGTGGCATGCTCACAGCCACCGCATCCTCGACCTGCTGGGCTTGGGTGATTCTTCTACCTCAGCCTTCTCGGTAGCTGGAACTTCAGGAATGTGCTACCACGCCCATCAAATGTTTTGATTTATTATAGAGCAAGATCTTGCTATGTTGCCTTGGCTGGTCTTGAACCTGTGGGCTCAGCCAGTCCTCTTGCTTCTGCTTCCCAAAGTGCTGGGATTACAGCATGAGCCACTGCGCCCAGCCCATCTGCTTATTCTTAAGCAGCTTACTGTTGCCTTGGTATTGACTGCATAATATTCTGTGTGTCACTTTTTTGTTGCTGAAGTAATACACATTTGTTGTAGAAAGTCACAATATATAGATTTGCCAGAAAGGGTAAAGAACTCATTTGACATCACATGAACCCAAAGAGGACCATAATCTAGTTTGTTGTTCTGTACCAATGTATACATTTCATAAAACTTGTATAGAGAGGTGTTAAAAATATAACTACAGGCTTTTAGACTAGAACTTTTCACTTGATAGGTTTCCACTTAAATGTGAATATATGGGCCCAGACATGGTGGCTCATGCTTGTAATCTCAGTGCTTTGGGAGGTCAGTGTGGGAGGATTGCTTGAAGTTAGGAGTTCAAACTAGCCTGGGCAATGAATGAGATCCCCATCTCTACCAAAAAAAAAAGTTATTTATATTTGACAAAAGCATTTGCTAATGATTGTATAATAGTCTATCATATAGTTCTTCTATAATTTATGTAACTGGTCTCTTTTTGGTATATTTATAAGCTTTTTATTTTTTTTAATATTATAAATGCTCCGTTGTGAATTTTTGTTCCATGACTTCAGGGATTCATCTGATTATTTTTTCAGGGTGCATTCTAGAAGAATATCTAGGTGACAGGGTTTGGATGCTATCATGTGTTCTGAGCCCATTGACAGACTGCCCTTACTCTTGTGCAACCCATGAGACCTCTCATTTCCTTACCTGCAACTCTTGGAGGTTAAGGAATAGTATATTATCTCCATAGTGTGTAATGCTATCTATAAATTTAATTTGTTTTTTTTTTCACTAATAGGCAACATTTTTCCACATGTTCTTTAGCCATTTATATTCTTCTGTTGCAGTGGCCTCTCCAAGACTTTTTCCAATTTATTACTTGTTTTTAAGTTTTGTGTATTGGTCTATTAACTGTTTGTCAGTGAATAATGTGTACTTTAGAGTGGAATTTGAGCCCATCAAAGTGGGTTTAGATATTAACCTACTAGACAGTGTTGCCTATGTAATCACTTGAGTCTAATATTGCATAATAAGGCTCTATTTAATGCAGTTATACAAGAGAAAAAACTTGCTAAGATATATTGCTCATATTGAAAAATATCAAAGAAAAGGAAAGTTTAAAACTTAGCCTTTGTGGCTTGTTCTGTTTATCACTCTATTTATGGGATGATTAATTATTTGATTTAGAAAACAAACTACTTAAAATGAGTTTAGTTGTTCAACTTGATTGATTAGAAGCTGGATTAATTTTAATTGTTTTTTATGATTAAAAGTTACATCATTAATGTATATCAGTTTAGTCAGGTGTATCCATTTTTCCATCTTAATATTATTTTCAGCTTATTCTGTATTTTTGACTTCTTCACAGAAAATACTAGACCAATTTCTTTTTGAAAATTCAACTTCAAGAAAATGAATGTTGGTAAATCTTTCAGTGTTAAAAAAGTCATTCCATGTAATTAATTTGGGCTCTTCAAAATTTGCTATAATTTTAAGACAGGATTTTACTAAATTAAAGTACATTTAATTCTATATTTCTTTCTTGTAGTCGGAATGTTATGGTATAATATCACTCATTTGGTCTGTTTAGGATAACACTGGTGGAAGTTACTGAAATGTATAATAGATACTTTTTTTTAGCTTTATTTATGAATAAAGTCACTATAAACTGTTAAAGATTTCTGCTTAGGTCAGTATATTAGTTTATCTTGAGAAAAACTATATTCTTTATCACATAGTAATTAATTAACACATGGTAAATAGTACATAATAGACTTACTAGGGTATACAGATATAATCAAATAGCATCTGCCATTTTGATTTTTTTATGATTCTAGTATATCTTTTTTTTTTTGAGTCTGAGTCTCACTCCAATGCCCAGACTGGAGTGCAGTGGCATGCTCATGGCCACCCCAGCATCCACCTGCTGAACTCCAGCAATTCAAGTAGCTTCCCATCTAGCTGGAACTACAGGTGCACGCTACCATGCCCAGCTAATTTTTTATTTATTATAGAGACGAGATCTCACCAAGATGCCCAGGCTGGTCTCAAACTCTCAGACTCAGGTAATCCTCTTGCCTTGGCCTCCCAAAGTGCTGGGATTATGGGCTGAGCCACTGCGCCTGGCTAGTATATCTATTTCTAATAAGAAAAAAATGCCTAAAACATTGTTGGTGTTGTTTTTTGTTCTTAAAGTGAAAATTCTCGACTGGCTGCTGAGGTTTACAAAGACATGCCTGAAACCAGCTTCACTCGAACAATTTCTAATCCTGAGGTGGTTATGAAACGACGGAGGCAACAAAAATTAGAAAAGAGAATGCAGGAATTCCGGAGCTCTGATGGGAGGCCTGATTCAGGTGCAAACGTGGAATGGCTTTTCTTGCTATACCTGTTATAAGGAGCATTATTTAATTATACTTTTAATATGTATATGAGGTCTTCCTTAAGAGGTTACATGGATGATGTAATCTCTTCATAACAAATATGTACTATATGTGTCTGGTACACAATCAGTTTGCCTTATTTAGAAGACTGCTGTTCACAGAGGGATATACTTAGTTTCCTACCTTTCTCCAATACAGTTCTTTTTATTTTAATTCTGTAAAATTTCAGATATATAAGAGAAGAGCGAGAAAGATATAATGAACCCCCAGGTACCTGTCTTTGAGATTTAATAATTAACAACTCATTGTTCTTCTCTAGTCCAACATGTATCACCACGTTTCCAAACTGCTATTGTGAAACAAATGCCAAAGTTCTCATTATTTCAACTATCAATATTTTGGTATCTTTTCCTAAAAGATAAGAAGTCTTTTAAAAACAAATCAGAACATAACCACAGTACCATTACCACATATAAATTAATTGACAATAATTTCTTAATATTATGAAATACCTAGCCATTGTTTAAATCTTTCTGATTGCTTTAGTTCTTTTATTGAAGAAAGGATCCAAATGAGCCTTACACATAACAATGCATGGCCACTTAATTCTGCCCCATTAACAGAAATTGCTGAGGATTCCATTTCTTCTGAGCATATTTCAGTGTTCCTGACAGTCACTACCTAAGATGGAAGTTGGCCCACCCTAGCATTCCATGTTTATTTTGACCCTTACCACCCTATAGCTGAGTCTTTATTATATATTTTACAGGACTTGATGTGTTGGTGATTTAAAAAATGTAGGTTCCATAAATATTCTAATAGATTACATTTGAGACACAAATGATTGGGTGTCATACACACACACACACACCCACACACACACACACACACACACCCCCACACACCCCCCCCCCCCCCACACACACACACACACTGTATTGTTCTGTCAAGGATTTGAAATAGTTTATAAATATATTCGCCAAATGAAAGAAGCAGAAAACAGTAAAGAAAGGGAGAGAAAACATGAAGGTGAAAAAAGGTAGTAAAAAGTTCAAAAAGGACAAGAGAAATGTCCAGAAATATCTACATGTGCTAACCACATACCAGACCTGAAAGCACTTTGTATGCCATAGGAAGGAGTTTGACATTACTACTGAAATTAACTTCTGAAGATGAATCCCTGGTTCCCTCAAGGAATGTTAAAGTATGGGCTTACGGGTAGTGAGTCACGATAAAGAAAGCTAGCTTAGAGTATCAATTTTTATAAGTCACCTAAAAATTTTTTAGTGATGATATACGTTTCAATGTTGATTAAAATGCAACAGTATGTATATTTTTAAGATAAAATAGGAAGTTTTTTGCATGTCATTTAGCCTATGCCCCCAGATACTCATATTTATTTTTCACTGCCATTGGAGATGCTTTGATGGAAAAATGTGATATACTTTGTTAATAAGCTGCTGAAGAGTTGTAAGCTGGGGATTTAGAAAGCTTTCAATTTAGCCTAAGCTCTATATCTGGAGAGGTAAGTTACTGTGAAAGCAGAGTGAAAGATGGATTTGAGGGAATTCTGATTAGAAACAGTCATGCCCATTATAAATATCGCATTGCCCATGTGATGGAAAGAGGCCTCTGATCTCTGTAATTGACAGTGGGGCTAACAAGAGAGAAAGGATGGAAGGAATATTTAAGATAGAAGTATCAGGAACTGGTAACAGACTAGATTTTATTGAGATGGGGAGGCAATCAGGATGACAACCCAGTTTTTAATTGAATAGGTGATAGATTTGCTTATATGTGTCATTTGAAGTGAGGACAGAGTATGAGATTATGCTAGACTAGTGACTGAGTGACTCTGAACTAGAGCAGTGCTCAGCAGTGTCAGATGGAGGTGTGGTTTGGGAGTGAACAGTGTGGTTGGGAGGTCTCATCACTAGGTGTGGATGAGATTTGTTGGGTAGAAAGTCTGCAGAGAATACAGAAACTTCAGGGAAAGCCATTGTTAAGAGGAGTTAGCAAAGAAAGCAGGAAAGACTCCACAAAGAATTAGAAGGAGAAATAACAGAATGTCATAAGTAGAACTTGTCTATTAAAAGGGTGACTGGAGGCAAAAGGAACATTTTTTATTTTATATATTCACAGGAGACTCTAAGAACTAAATATTGTTAGCAGAATGGCTATTGGTTAATACTAAGGAAGTCAAAAGTATTAAGTTGCAGGTTTTTAAAAAAAATAACTTAAATGATAACTTAACAGCTCAATAATAATAAATAACTTGCTCAGAAAAAAATAAATATCCTTATAACCTTGTGTAGCTATTAGCTTACTATCAGGTTGAATCTTTAATGTGGGTTGGAGCCATGGGCACGTGTGGGTATCACTTCTCTAAGAGTGACAACTGTCTGTCATTTTTTCGTCTCTTCACCCCGAGGATTGGTTCCTCAAACTCTGATGACAGAACTTACATATCCTCCTTAACTGTGCCTTCTAAACTCACTTCACAACTGGTTAGGCATCATAACTCCCAACAAGCTTTGCCCTGGACTTCCCATTTTTGGCACTCAGGTGTATTCACTTTGTGATGTCTTTAAAATGTAGTTGACCCCACAATGCCCAGCTAATTGATTTGTGGGACGTATATTCTTTTACCAGTTATTGTTGTGGTTTTTGTCACTGAGAAATTCATTAATAAAATTGTAGGAATATTTAGGAATTTGATCCTTCTTCTACCTTGTTTCTTAGTGCACAGTCTTGGGAACATCAGGGTCCTGTGAAGTGGACCTGGGGTTAGGGCTCAGTTTGAACCTGGGACCCTTTGTGTACAAACCGAGAGCCTCATTTCTTTGTCTTCAAAATGGGGTAATAATCTATATCTTCATTTTGACTTAGATATATCTATACAAGTAGATTTTAGTCCATAATAGGGTCTTAAAATGTTAGCTTCTCTCTTTCCTTCCTTAGTAAGTCAACAATACCATGGTTTTATACTTATAAACTAAAAGCTTTCACATTAGACTGTATCCGTTTATTGCTTTTTTGTATATCAGAATGTCTTAGCCCACACTATTCTAAAACCAAATCATAGTTTTAGGCAGATGTTCTAAGACGTTCAAATGGATAGTAATAGTAATTTTGCTCAGTAGCTAAATTCGTTTGGCTGCATGGATATGAATTTTATAGCTGCCTCATCTCAATGTGTCCTTTTAAAAGTACCTCTCAAAATTATGTTATCTGTAGGAACCTGCTGATTTTTAAAAAGTGACTGGTAAATCCTGACCTTAAATTTTTGAGACTAAATAGTGGTCTACATGCTCTGTGGTCTACAAGTTTGGGATCACAAGTACTTGTCTATTTAACAGATGTAAACAATTTTTTAAAAGAAAAATTAGACACCTGCCCTTTTGCTTTTTTGGGGGGTAGGGAGCATCTAGGTAAGGAGACAAGTTCATCTCTTCAACTTTTAAAATAGAAACTCTATTTTGCTCCATAGTTGTGTTACATATAGATGTTACCTCAGTCTACAAAATTGTTTACTCAGCCAGTTGTACATATGCTTTATAAAGTATTTTAAATCTGTATTTGGAAGTGGAGTATAATTATATAAGGAGGAGGTGCATTTTAGTGTGGTGGAATACACATGTAACATGGGCTTCATTACTGTTGCTGATGTCCCCACCTTCACCCAAAAGCCAGGCACCTCTTTATAATGTGTGAGTGGCCTTTTGCCCACCTCTCCACACACATACACATGCTGGCATGTGTGCATACACACTCATACACAGAGAACTTAAAACCTTCCAGTGACTCTCATTTCAGCTACAATAAAGTTCAAACTCATGATCTGATTATGGTCTGGGAAGTCTGGTCTCAGCCAGTCCCTGCCTTTGCCTTTCTCTTTTCCCCTCACTCTGTTTGCACTGACCGGTGAACCAAGCCATGCTCACATCAGCCCTGGACCACCTTAGCACTTGCTGGTCCTGTGTGAGAAGGCTTTTCCTTCAGAGTTTCAGGTGCTGCCTCTGTCTGATCATTCAGGTTTCACTTCCAATGCTGATTCTTCAGAGAGGTCTTGTCCAGTCACCCAAGCTCAAGAAGCTCTTGGTCATTTTCTTTTTTAAACCATACTTACATTTTTCACACTGTATATCACTGTTGTAAATTATGTACTTGTTTTCTCGTTGCTCTTCTCCCCTTCTCATATCCCACCTCCCAACTAGAGAATGTCAGGCTATTTGAAGGCAAGAACATTATCTGCCCTGTTGATTGCTATGTCCTCAGCACTGGAGCTGTGTGCGTTTGCACATGGTCAAGATATACTGAAACTTGGACCTGCCCAGCAGGTCCACATTCTAATACTCATATGGACTCACTGACTTCTTAAAAGACCTTTATTTTACTTGTGTTATAGTTATTGTTTTTTATTTTTTAAATATTTATTTATTATAGAGTTGTGAGGTACAAGTGAGGATTAACTACATAAGTAGGCTGCATGCAGGTGAAGTTTGGGTTTCTAACAGGCCTTCCCTCCCCCGGGAAGTGGATCAGGTACCCATTGTGCTGTCATGTACCCTCCACCTTGCTCCCTCCCTTACTCCCCTATCAGTGCCCAATGACTGCCGATCCCACCATTGTGCTAACGTGGCCAGTGTTCAGGGCCCACTTATGAGTGAGATCGTGCTGTATTCAGGTACGTTGTAATTATTTTTCTAATGTGAGCTGAGTTATGAAAATAAAATTTGTGCCAGACTTGTTGAAAAGAGAATTTAGCCAGAATAACTGCATGGACATTAAAAATAGTGAAGGAGTCGTGGAGATTTATAACTTGATTCAAGAAATCTACTTTGACTTTCTGGTGGGTGGGGTAGGGACCAAAACAGAACTCATCTGGCAGGGAGAGGAGTGAACAGTTGGGGGATGACACCCCCATGAGCCCGCCGACCCACTCAGCCTTCTCTCATCTAGCTTTTTAAATTTACAGGCAAAAAAATTGAGGGTTAAAGACATTAGAGTGCTTGCCCAAGGCCACACTGTAGTCATGGGAATGTGGAGCCTTTTTAAATTTCTTCTCTCAGTATCTTTTCATCTAGATTTAAGATTTCAGAGTTTATTAATCTTGGACCATAAGTAGAAAGTAGATTATGCCACCCAAAGTGGCAATAATATAACTTATGTGTAGGTTTGCATTAAAAAGAAACAAAAACCAAAAACCTTGGGATATCCAAATTGCTCTGCTGTAGCTGATTTTATTTTCCAGATGAGCTCACAGCTAGAAACTGCATCAAACGGCATCGTTTGTAGTACTTAGAAGTCAAAATAGACCCTGCTCTGGGGGCAGATTTCTCATGGAAATTTTTGGCCTCAGTTACCTGAGATCTCCTGGTTCCTAGTCTACTTTTAAAAAATGATTTATTTGATGGGGTTAATACTTCACTTTATCTGAGTTTTTAATTTAAGTTTCAGATTGATGTTCAGGAAGTAGAAAGGAAGGATGGGGGATATAGGTCTACAACAGTATCTAGAATAGGAAAGGGGAAAGCAGTAGAACAGTACTACAGCGAAGCTTGGAGTGTATTCCAATTCCACCCTTTACTATGGTGGACATTGGTTCATTATCAGAACTCCTTTGGCATGAAGAGAGGACAGAGGCAGTCTTCGCCATACTGAGTTATTCATAGTTTCAAAGTGTCCCTAGATCAACCAGTTACTGCTACTGTATGTCATATAACAGGAGGTGAAATAGAGTTATTGGGCAGATTCTGTCTCTGTGCTCATTGCAGCTAGAACTCAGGCGCTCTTTCCTTAAGTGATGATAAATATTAGCTATCTCTTATTGGCGTAAAATTATACTCAAAGATGTCAAAATGTTTTTTCAGGTGGAACATTGAGAATTTATGCAGACAGTTTAAAACCAAATATTCCCTACAAGACAATCCTGCTGTCTACTACAGATCCTGCAGACTTTGCTGTGGCTGAAGCTTTAGAGAAGTATGGTCTGGAAAAAGAAAATCCTAAGGATTACTGCATTGCCCGGGTAGGTAACTTCATCAAATCTTATTGGTATGACACTTGCTAGGACTTCCTATCTAAATGGAAGATACTCTTTAATTAAAATTAAACTTAGACTGATTTTCACTGTATTATTTAGAATCTGATGAACTAAAAACCATGTGTTAAATATATATATCCTTTCCATCACAAAAAGTAATATATGTTTCTACTATAAAATAAGAAAAAATGTAAACAGGCAAATTGAGGAAAGTAAAAGTCACCCAAAAATCAACTGACCACATATATGTGTGGTTCTATTTTTGGACTCTGTTCTGTCTTATTGTTATATCTGTGTCTACTTTTTGCCAATACCAAGTTGTCTTAATTACTGTATATTTATAATAAGTCTTAAAATCATGTGAAGTATCAGTTTTACTTTTAAAAATTGATTTGTTTTAGATTTTTGCATCTCTGCAAAAATTTTAGAATCAGCATGAATTTCCTAAGGCGGGACTGTAGGTTGGACTGAAGAAAGAGAATTGGGTTGGAGGTTTCTATGAGAAGTGGTAGACTCTGCCAGATCTTCTGTATCCCAACTGCTGTGTGAAAATAGAGCATCTATGAAATAAGACCAGAGTACCAGAAAAAGGAGCAGGCAGAGAAAGCTCTTAGAAATTAAAATATATAAGTAAATAAGGGATAAAGGGAAAAAAGGTTAATAAGATGGACAGAAAGTAAGGAAATCTGTCTGAATATAGAACAAAAAGAAAAGGAAGTAAAACAGACAAGGTAAGACGTTTAGACTTCAATGTAGAATATCCTATCAGGAGGATCAGCCAGAGAAAATAGGGGAATCGGAGAGATGGAAGTCATTAAGGAAACAATACTAGAATCTTTCAGAACTGAAAGAGTTCAGTTTCTAAAAAGACCCACCAAACAATGCTATAATTACTTTGGAAAAGTAATATATATTATTTCTGAAACTGCATGAACTAGAGATAAAGAGATTAATGATTCCAAAGAAAAAAAACTATTCAAGTTGCATATAAAGGATGAGGGAGTAAGATCAGGGCCAGTCTTTTCAGCAGTAGTTATGGAATCTGGAATACCATAAAGCCGTGCTTTCATATGCAGATGAAATGATTTTCAATCCATACTGTCAACTGAGTGTTAAGGTGGATTGATTAAAGACATTTGAAAACATACAAGGGAAGCATTTACTTCTCATATGTTCTATCTCAAAAAAGTACTGGAGGATGTTTCCAGCAAAATGGTGGAGTGGACCAAGTAGGATAGGAGGAGGCTTGAAGAACGAAATCTAGTACACGAGAAGGGAATTCCAAAAATGATGGAGAAGGAAGATCTAGAAGATCCCTGTGTAGTAGTCCTAAACAACACACATCAGATTGGAGATAATGTTCAAGAATGAAAATAGATAGCAGTAAAGACATATTGCTTAGAAATACGGTGCTGAATATTTGTTGTAATATCTGAAATAACAAATAGCCAGTAAATTTGTGAGTATGTTTCTATAAAGATTTTTTTTGCAGTATTCTGTTTATAGCAGTAAACAAGCAGACTACAAACCCATCACTAAAGAATACTTATACTACTGAATGCCATGTCACTATGCAGCATTATGAGTTAGATCTATACTAGTTGACCTAGAGATATGTACAAACATACCTCAGATATTTTGCAGTTTTAGTCCCAGACCACTGCAGTAAAGCCAGTATCACAATAAAGCGAGTCATACCAATTTTTTGGTTTTCCAATCCATATAAAAGTTATGATTATACTATACTATAGTCTAGGGGTCCCTAACCCCCAGGCTGAGGACTGGTACCGGTCCGTGACCTGTTAGGAACGGGCCGCACAGTAGGAGGTGAATGGCTGGTGAGTAGAGCTTCACCTCCTGTCAGATCAGTGGCAGCATTTGATTCTTGTAGGAGCTCAAACCCTATTGGTAACTGCATACACGAGGGATCTAGGTTGTGTGTTCCTTTGAGAATCGAATGTCTATAAATCCCACCACCTTGGTCCCTGGAAAAACTGCCTTCCATGAAACCGGTCCCTGATGTCAGAAAGACTGGGGACCATTGCTGTAGTTTGTTAAGTGTGTAGTAACATTATGTTTAAAGAATGTACATAACTTCATTGTTTAAAAAAAGTGCTAACTGTCCTCATAGCCTTCAGTGAGTTGTGACTTTTTTGCTGGTGGAGGGTCTTGCCCTGATGTTGACACCTGCTGCCTGATCAGGGTAGGGTTATGGTTGCTGAAGGATGTGGGACTGGCAATTTCTTAAAATAAGACAACAGTGAAGTTTACTACATTGATTCTTTCACAAAAGATTTCTCTGTAGCATGTGATGCTATTTGATAGCATTTTACTCTAAGTAAGACTTCTTTCAGAATTGGAGTCCATCCTCTCAGCCCTTGCCACTACTTTATGAACTAAATTTATGTAACATTTTAAATTCTTTGTTGTCATTTCAACAATATCGTAGCATCTTCCAGTAGATTTAGTCTTAAGAAACCACTTCTTTGCTCATTCATAAAAAGTGACTCTTCATTCATTCAAGTTTTATCATGAAATTACAACTCAGTCACATTTCAGACTCTACTTTTAATTCTAGTTTTCTTGATGTTTCTGCCATATCTGCAGTTATATCCTCCACAGAAGTCTTGAACCCCTCAAAGTCATCCATTAGGTTTGGAATCACCTACTTCCAAACTTCTGTTAATGTTGATATTTCTCCTCCTCCCATGAATCATGAAAGTTCTTAATGGCTTCTAGAATGGTGAACCTTTCCCAGAGGTTTTTGGTTGACTTTGCCTAGATCCATCAGAGGAGTCACTAACTAAGGCACCTGAGGCTTTATGAAGTGCATTTCTTTCTTCTTTTTTACAGCCTCCTAGGTAGCTGGGTCTACAGACATACACCACCACACCTGGTTAATTTTTTTGATCTTTCATAGAGATGAGATCTTGCTGTGTTGCCAAGGCTGGTCTTGAACTTCTGGGCTCCAGCAATACAGGAAATGTATTTTTTAATAATTTCTTGAAAGTTGAAATGAGTCCTTGATCCATGGACTGCAGAATGGATGATGTGTTAGCAGGCATGAAAACATGAATTTCCTGATACATCTTCCTCAGAGCTCTTGGGCAACCAGGTATTTTGTCAAGGATCAGTAATATGAAAGGAATCTTTTTCTGAGCAGTAGGAAACAATGGGCTTAAAATATTCAGTAAACCATGTTGTAAATAGATGTGCTGTCATACAGACTTTGTTGTTCCAATGATAGAGCACTGGCCGTGTAGATTTTTGTATAATTCTTAAGGACTCTAGGGCTTTCAGAGAGGTGAGTGAGCCTTTTCTTCAACCTCAAGTCACTAGGTACAATAGCCACTGATAAGAGAGTCAGCCAGGTTTTTGAAGCTTTGAAGCCGGACATTGACTTTCTCTGGTTATGAAAGTCCTAGATGGCATCATCTTCCAAGGAAGGATGCTTCATCTCCACTGAAAATATGTTGTTGAGTGTAGCCACCTTTCATCAGTAAATTTTTTTTTTTTTTTTTGAGTTGGAGTCTCACTCTTGTTGCCCAGACTGGAGTGCAGTGACCGCTCCTGGCCACCGCAGCCTCGACCTGCTGGGCTCTGGTGATCCTTCCATCTCAGCCTCCCAATTAGCCGGAACTACAGGCGCATGCTACCACGCCCGACTAGTTTTGGATTTATTGTAGAGATGAGGTCTCGCCAAGTTGCCCAGGTGGGTCTTGAACCCATGGGCTCAGGCAATCCACTCACCTCAGCCTCCCAAAGCGCGGGATTATAGGCTGAGCCACCGAGCCCGGCTATCAGTAATCTTAAAATCTAGATCTTCTGGGTAAGTTGCTGCAGGTTCTCTATCAGCATATGCTGCTTCTTCACCTTGTGCTTGAATGTTATGGCGGCAGCTTCTTTCTTTCAACCTCATGAGCCTCAGCCTTCAGAGAGCTGAAGAGGGCACCTTGCTCTGGATTAGGCTTTTGTGTTGTGGCTGGTTTGGTTATTTATCAAGACTACTCAAACTTTCTCCATGTCAGCAATAGGACTGTTTCTCTTTTTTATCATTGGTGTGTTCACTGGAGTAGCACTTTTAATTTTAAGAACTTTTTCTTTGCATTTATAACTTAACTAACTGTTTGGCATAAGAGGCCTACCTTTTGACTTGTCTTGGCTTTCTGCATGCCTTTCTCAATAGCCGTAATCGATTTTTAGCTTTTGATTTAGAGACGTGCCTCCCTTCCTGTCACTTAACACCTAGAGATCATTGTAGAGTATCAATTGGCCTAATTAATATTGTTGTATCTCATGGTATAGGGCAACCTGAGGAGAGGCAGAGAGACAGAGGATGGAGCAGTCAGAACACACACATTTATCTCTACGTTTGTCATCTTATATGTGTAGCTCATGTCACCTCAAAACAATATGAATGGTAACATCCAAGATCACTGATCACCATAACAAATACAATAATTTTGAAAAAGTTTGAAGTATTGCCAGAATGTACATAGAGACCTGAAGTGAGCACAAACTATTGGAAAAATGGCACCAGTAGACTTCCTCAGTATAGGGTTGCCACAAACCTACAATTTGTTTTTATAAAATGCAGAACATGCAAAATGCAGTTAAATGAGAGCTAGCTGTACCTTTTGTAAAATACTCTGTTTTTGTAAAAACAATCACCATAAACAAAACCAGATAATAAAAATGCTGTGTGTTTGTGTACATGAGCAAAGATAAAAGTAAACGCATGGGAAAGAGACACCAGCTTGTAAACTACTTAGATGAGGGGAAGAGGGAGAAAGAGAAGACTACAAAAACTGTTATGTGCCCGTGCCTTGGGAGGCTGAGGTGAGTGGATTGCCTGAGCCCGTGGGTTCAAGACCCGCCTGGGCAACTTGGCGAGACCTCATCTCTACAATAAATCAAAAATCAGCTGGGCGTGGTAGCATGCACCTGTAGTTCCAGCTACTTGGAAGGCTGAGGCAGAAGGATCGCCGGAGCCCAGCAGGTCAAGGCTGTGGTGGCCAGGAGCGGCCACTACACTCCAGTCTGGGCGATTGAGTGAGACTCCAACTCAAAAAAAAAAAAAGTTATGTGATGAAGATATATCCTCATAAAATCAATGCATAAAGGTAATTATTGAAAGTATGATTACATAAATGTGGTTATGGTTATCTCGCAGTAGTTTTTTGTACTTTTTTGGTGTCTGAAATTTTTACAGTGAGTCTGTTAATCAGAGTCAGAAAGAAATACAGCAAGGCTCATTTAATTGTGTGGATGGGTAAGATAGATGATCATGGGTATTTGGTAATAGGATGTACCTTTTTATTTCTTTGGCCTTTGTATAACAGGAAGTAGTAAGAAATAGTACTGATAAATTTGAAGGAAAAAGGGTCCTCCCAGAAATGAAACAAAAAAAATTTATACTTCTAAATGATAGAATTCATAGATAGATAAAGATACTGTGTCTTAAGCTAAAATTCTGTCATAGTTTGTGGGGCATTGATGGGGTAAGGTAAGAAGGTTAGATTGTAAAGATAATTGTGCATTCTTTCTGATATAGAGGATATTCCAGTGCAGAAGTTACTTGAAATGGAGTAGAACTTTATTGTAATACTGGACTTTATGAGATAATTACTTTTCTGTTCAGAAACACTATATAGCCAGCATAATGTATATATAGGAGACATAATTTACCTATAGATTAATTAAATCCATGATATGATGAATTTTATATGTTCTTTATGCTTACAATTGGTTTGTAACTGCTGTAAAATGTTTCTAATTAAAATATTAGTAAAATAACAGTGTTAATAGAGTACATGACTGAACAGAGACCTAATCCTCTTTCAACTGTGTCCTCTGCTGGTTTGTGAACCCTGAGGGTAAGGAGCTTTGAGAATGTGCAGTGTTGCACCTATTACCTGGTATTCTTCAAGTGTTTGCCAAGGGAATATTTTTGTTGATAAGTGTATATAAATCTATGTTATAATAACTAGTTCCATAAAATTCCCTATGATGGTATGTGATAACAAACTTTATAACATTTTTATCCTTTCAATAATTTCTGGCTGATTTTTACTAATCAAAATGAGGAAGTGAAATAAATGTCACCTTAATCAGGGTTTTGCAGTCATAAAAGCTTATTTGGGGATTTTATTGATAGTCCCTTTTGAGGTCATTTGATGATTTCTTTGAGGGTCTCTTCTAATTTTGATTTTCTGTTCTGTGGTTCCTTACCAGTTTTCTTTTGTAAGTTTAGGCAATATACATCAAGATTTGATCATCATCAGCTGGGCGTGGTGGCTCATGAATGTAATTCCAGCACTTTGGGAAGCTGAAATAGGAGTATTGCTTGAACCCAGGAGTTCGACACCTCATCTGTACAAAAAATTAAAAAAAATTACTTGGGTGTGGTATCACATGCTTGTAGTCCCAGCTACTCAGGAGGTAGAGGCAGGAGGATTGCTTGAGCCCAGAGGTTCGAGACTGCAGTGAGCCTTAATCATGCCATTGCACTCTAGCCTGCATGACAGTGAGACTCCAACAACAACAAAAAAGAATTGATTGTTGTTTTATTTTGAATTAGAAATTCTTTATCTTGTTAGTTTGCTACCTTATAAATTGTAACTTTTTCATGTTCTTCATGTATTATTTAATATATTTGTTTATTCAATACATTTTCTCCTATTTGTGCTGGGTAATAAGAGCTGCCCTTAAAAAGGCTTATAATAAAGGGAGACAGATCAAGAAATAGAAGAACAAACAGGGCCTTTTAAATTGGAATGGACGTCACTGAATGCTTCTTGGAGAAGTAGAACTTGAGTTTGAATGATGAATGGATGTTATTAGACACGATTAGACACGAAGGTTGGGGCAAGAGAGGCTGTAGAAGCATGAGATATGTGACCTAGTCTGAGGACTCTGAGGAGTTCCATGTGGCGTGGCTCTAAAGGTGTGACAGATGGAGACTAAAGAGGTGAGTGAAGGTCAGACCCTGAAGTGGTGTGTATTTTAAGCCAGGATGTTGAATTTAGCACATAGTGCTGTGAAGAAAGATTGATTTCATAGTAAGTCTGTGTTACAGTAAATTTGTCTTTTTAAGATAATTGAAGTAGTGTAGAGAGAAATTACAGGGGTCTATAGAAGAGTAAAGCCAATCTGGTGTGTGAACATGAGGCTGCATTTGGGTGGCAAGGTCTATTAGGAGAACTTTATTACATTAGCTATAGGTTGAAGTTATGTTCAGATGCCAGTGACTTGGACTTCTTTCCCTGTTCTCTCTAGCTGTGTCTTGGTAGTGCTAGCACTGCATTGGAGGGGCTGGAAGGTCACTGAACTGCTGTCATCAGCCACTTTCCTCTCTACTGCAGTATTTCTTAGGACTTTGTTAGATGATGAAGAAAGGTGGCTACAGTAAAATCAGATAATAAAAAGTAATATAGCATCGTGAATTTTTAAGAGTGCAGTGAATATATTTCTTTTTTTTTTGAGTTGGAGTCTCACTCGGTCATCCAGACTGGAGTGCAGTGGCCGCTCCCGGCCACCGCAGCCTCGCCTGCTGGGCTCCGGCGATCCTTCCACCTCAGCCTTCCGAGTAGCCGGAATTACAGGCGTGCGCTGCCAGGCCCGGCTAATTTTTTGATTTTATTGTAGAGATGAGGTCTTGCCTGCCCAGGCGGGTCTCAAACCCGCGGGCTCAGGCAGTCCACTCACCTCAACCTCCCAAAGGCGTGGGATTGCAGGCTGAGCCACTGAGCCCGGCTGTGAATATATTTCTTAAAACAGTTGCTTAAAAACATTTGTTGAATGAATAACTAGCTCTGTAACATAGTTAAATGATCTGATTAAGATTTAATCATAAAGACAGATTATTACAAGAGTAAGAAAACTATTCTGATTGTGTGATAGTTATCCTATGAGATCTCACATTGTATGAACCTACTTTATAAAAACAAGTTGTTTGAATGTGAAAGGTAGGCTAGGGACTAGAGAGATTGAAATTTGCAATAATGAAATTATCTTAAGAAGATACTCAGAAGGAAGCCATTCATTACATGTGGTCTTTCCATATAAAACAGTAGGGACCAGTAGCCAAATTAGCTGGCTTTGCTTTTTATTATAAGCAGTTTTCCTTCACTTTTATCGATGATTGTTTTGATGATGAGTGAGAATTGTTTATTGTACTTAATCAATTTAATTCTGCAGTTACTTTTGATGAATTCAAAAACAATACATTTGTTATTGTAAATACTTGCTATTTAGTTACTTAGGTTATTTGCAGTTAATTATTTTTTCTTTTAGGTTATGCTTCCTCCTGGAGCCCAGCATTCTGATGAGAAAGGTGCTAGAGAAATTATTCTTGATGATGATGAGTGTCCTTTACAAATCTTCAGGGAATGGCCAAGTGACAAAGGTAGAGAGTAAACTTACCTGTTATACAATTACGTCTGTCAGCTGTGTGCGTGGTATACCAGTTGCTCATCTTACCTGGTGATGAAGGAGGTGTGGGTAGGCGTATTTTTCGATGACTGCTTGCTATGCAGCTTTCTGCCTCCTTCACAGACTCACTGGATGGCTCCTGAGTGCTGTCCTCATCCTTAAGACCATGCTCAGCCTGTCTTAGGTGTAGACCTTGAACAGATAGTAATGCTGCCGGTGAATAGCACATCTTAGGAAAAAGTCAGATTATTAGCACTGCATCAAGACATGAAAGTCCACTGTTACCTACCCAACAGTAGAAAACACTTTCCATACTGACCAGGTGAACAGTGTGGTGTTGGACAAATTTGTTTTAATAGGGAAAATGGCCTTTGCAACTCTGTAAGATTGTCTAGTAAATTAGTCATTTCAAATAATGAATTCACACTTTGCACTATTCAAACAGTTTCCCTTAGTTATTTCAAAGCAGTGAAAGTTTAAAGCAGTGTTTTTGGTGAAATATAATTTTCCTACTTTCAGTTTCATATCATAAATTAACTATTCCTTGGTAGAGAGCCTTTGCACTAATAAAGGCATAAGCATTTATTGCCAGTTAATCATGTCAATACTGACTGTAGATTGGTAGTTTTAAAATACTAAAAAAATACCTTTCTCAGCAAGCAAATTTTTAGCCTCCTTAAAAACACTTGCTTAGTACTTTTTGAAAACATAAACTTCACTAAAGTTTAGTTGCTTTGCATTCTGAGTTAATTCAGAACTAAATAAAAATAGAGTCAACTAAAATACATTTTTATGTATGTGTGTGTGAATGTGTTTTATATATGTGGATATAAATATATTTATTGATCATAGTTGTTTACCATTGATCAGTGGGTTGTTTCAAGCATATGATGCCTTTGGGTAGATGTTAATTTAAAATAATTTGACTGAGCTCGGTGACTTAGCCTGTAATCTCAGCACTTTGGGAGGCTGAGGCGAGTGGACTGCCTGAGCCCATGGGTTCGAGACCAGACCGGGCAACTTGGCAAGACCTCATCTCTACAATAAATAAAAAATTAACCGGTGTGGTAACTCATACCTGTAGTTCTGGCTACTTGGAAGGCTGAGGCTGAAGGATTGCCAGAGCCCAGCAGGTCGATGCTGGGGTGGCCTTGAGTGTGCCACTGCACTCCAGCCTGGGCAACGGAGTGAGACTCCAACTCAAAAAAATAAATAAATAATTATAATAATTTTTGAACATTGCTTGCTAGAACTTCCAGAACATACCAAGAGACTCTTGTTTTCCTCTATTGAGTAGAAGTAAGTATAAATTGGGTAAGCTTTTGCTCAGTGATTCTTTGGCAGATGTTACTAAATTATATACATCTTGACAAATCTCTGAGCGGTTACTGCCAGTCTGCTGGCCATCCTTGCCAATCTGAGTCTAGTGATGATTTCCACCTTTACTGTTCTAGGGATTTTAGTCTTTCAGTTGAAGAGGAGGCCACCAGACCACATCCCAAAGAAAACGAAGAAGCACATGGAAGGGAAGCCTCTGAAGGGAAAGGAGAGAGCTGATGGGTCTGGCTATGGCTCTGCTCTTCCCCCCGAGAAACTACCCTATTTAGTAGAGTTAAGCCCAGGTGAGAAAACTGGTCATACAAGGAAATATTAGAAGGGTACATTTTTAGTTTTAAATGTTTGTACTGTTTAGTACATCTTGTTTAAAGGACTTTTCTGTTGACTGACTCAACGTTTATAGATCTTTTTTTTTTTAAAGTAACTTTCATAAGATGACATTTACTTTTAAAAAAACTTAGAATTGTAGAATATACACATTTATGCATAAAAATAAAAGTTCACATAAAAAGAAGTGCTAAGAAACAAAATTAGTGTATAGAGAATTTTAGGAGAGTTTTAAGTTTTTTTCCAATTTTAGTAAAAACTAAAATATTTACCACTCCTAGGGCAGACTTCAGAAAGGCATGCATGTGTGTAATCATATTATTATTTATAATATATGGACAATGTCCAAAAAAAATCTTTAAATTTTACAGTACATTTGAGTAAGAAGAAAGATATTTGATATTCAGATAACAGACTAAATTTAATTTCATATTAGTCCTCTAAATATTTTGTTTGTAGAACTCTGATAAGCTAAGACTTTTGTCTCAAGTTAGCTGTCAGGTAGAGAAATACATTGACATTCTTAAATCTTTTATGTATACACACATCCCTATGCAGTGTATATATTTGTATATGTGTATGCTATACATGACATTTATCATTGAGCTAAAATTTCATTGTTTTAGTTAAAACTGTATTATTAAATACTATGAAAAGCAGTATTGTACCCCCACCCCAGACTACATTTAAATAAAACCCAATTAATAATCATAGAAAAAATTAGAAAAGTGAAACAGGTTATGTAGATATTGTACGGTTCCGTGGGCATGAACTATGGTTTTTTCTTTGATTTTTGAGTGTTTATTTTTATTTACAAGGTTTATTTAGTTTCTTACAGCTAACTAAGTTATTATAATTAACTAATGATTAGAAATGGTATTTGTTGGGGGGGATACAACATCAATAAGGGTACCTGATCTCAAACCAGGCAAAGTGGGGACCAGAGGGAGTTCCAAACTTTACCTATATGATGACCACTTGTATACCTAATCCTGAATTGTACCCCACATCTTTAAAAAAAAAAAATGAAAGGTATTTGTTGTCCATCAGTCCCATGGTACAGTAGGTTATATCAATTCAGGAAGTGGTGATATTATTTTGATGATACTCTAATTTATATTCAGAGGCATTGCAGTTTTAGATGATAGTTTTTATACTTAATTATGTTTGAGGACTTTTAAAATTAATTGATTAGCTATTTCTGAGCTCTGTATTAGGGTTGCTTTGTCCCTCAGTTCTCTGGGTGGGAAGTTCATTTGAAGTTTTGTTTTCTCACTGTAGTTTGGAAACGTCCCAGTGTGTGTGTCCATAATTTGTGTGAGAGCATCAGTGTTTGGTTACCTGAGAGAATGAACAACAACTGAGAGGCAGGTTTTTTTTTTTTTTTTTTTTTTGAGAAAGCAGGATTTATTGAGAGGACAGGAAAGCTCCCACAGTGGGAGGGGACCTGAAGGGGTTGCCCAGGCATTTTTTTTTTTTAACCTGAAATTTTTTAGAATTTGTTTGGGGGGCATTGGGGCAGCCCTTTAAAATTTCACATTAAATGCTGGCAACTAATGATTATTTTCTCTAGTTCAAATTTTTGAGGATTTAAGAACATTAGCTCTTTGAGAAATGTATAAATAGCAACTGACAGAATGATTTTCAAATGAGTGAAGGATAGTTTATTTTGGTGGATAGTACAGACATACTGACCTTTCATTCATTTATTCATCCTTTTAGCAAATATTCATTGAATACTTATTATGTATCATACCCCATTTTGGGCCTTGAAGGCAGAGCACCAAAGCAGATTAAACCCCTTGACCTTGGGAATTTCATTTATTTTGAATGTTTCTTTCCTATTTATAGTTTCTCAGGTAATCCAATATATAGACTTTCTGTAGGTGTGGAATCAATCATAGACAATTGTATACTAATTTTCACCAGATATTAGCCCAGCATGTATTATATGCTTATTAGCCCATTGCTTTCCATGGGGCACTCTACTTACTGCCTTTAGTCAGCATTTGTTGACTTTATGCTTTAGGCAAAGGCGTATAAGATTATTCCTGCCCTCGGGTACTTCACACACTGGGAGACAATCACAGTACTACCATATGAGTGGCCTTTCTCTTGTCCCAGCTTTCTTCCTGAGTCCTGTGGCACCTGTGGGTAGCCTGAAGTTCTGGTCTGTGCTGCTGTCCCAAGAGTGAACCAGGGATTGGTGGCAGGCGTGACTATTAGGCCAGGGATTTCCTTGGAACAAAGCTGTGTTCTTTCATTAGGTCATGATGTCTTCTTAGGTTTTCATTGTTATTCATTGGTCACAGTCAGCATGCTGAGTGAAATTGATCTATTTTCCATTTATGAGAAAATAATATTCACATAAAGTGATTTGTTATGAATGGTTAAGTACTATATTTCCATGGGGCACACTGTCCGCCAAGTGTATATCCTCAGGAGGTCCTTTCTGCTAGGTGTGAATAGGGAATTTTTGAGTGTGGCGGTGTGTTCACATTGTCCTCTGGAGGAGTGCAGAGTAAATATGTTGTTTTGTTCTTGCTTTGGATTTGAATGTGTTCTCTAAACAGAAGGAAGAAATCAGCCACGTGGGGCAGTAGCCCTCTATATATTTAACTCACTGTTGCTGTCCTGCTGCTTGGTGACTCACCTGCTAACCTGCTGTTTCCCTTAACAGTCTGCACTGGTTTCTAAAACACTGACTGGGGCCCTGCTGTAGTCTTGTCCTCACAGCTGTGAAAGCTGATGGGTAAAATGTACCTTTTCTTCCTTTGAAATGTGTCTCACTGAAGTTTACCCTCTGCATCTCTTCTCCTTCCCTCTTCCACGTGTTCTGCATGGTCTCTGTCCTGCTGATGCTGCCTTCACCTGGGTCCTGGCATGTGTCTTAACCCCAGGGAGAAGGAATCACTTTGCCTACTACAGCTATCACATTCATGAAGGTAATGCTATGCTTAATATTCCTTTTGTACCTAGAGCACTAGCAGAGCTTCCTGGGCACAATAATGTTGACTGACCAAATAGTTTATGTATCTGTTTCTTAGTGGATATAAATAACCTATTTTAATAGATTTGAAGTACTCTCATTTTATTTGTACCTAGTAAATGTTCCATATCCAGAGCTCCTTTCATTTACTGGAAGCTTATTTTCCTTCTTTATTTCCCAGGCTCACCCTGGGAAGTGACTGAAGGTAAAAGCAGCATTGGCTTGAGTGGAGGAAAGACAAAGTGCTGTTGAAAAATCCTCCTTGGGCTCTGTTCATCTGGTCTACTTCCCTTCATATTTAGAATAGCAAATAAAACTTTCTGGTAGAGCACTATTATTGTATGTGATGGGGTTACTTAAATGTACTTGTCTCTACTTTTAAAGGTGCTCCAGACTTACTGTAGTTATCTTGGGGAATACTCAGGCGCTTTGGGCAGAAATTGGCTATTTGTAAAAAACTTGTTGAAGAAGGTAGAAAATTTGGAATTTCTGTGTTAGGCAACAGTTTTGTGTTTGTTACTGCCTGTGAGGTGATAATCGTGCTTTTAATAAGGAGAGGGAAATGGACTGTGGACTGTTGATTCTCCCCCTGCTTCCTCTCCCAACTCAAACCAGACACCTTTTTATTTGCTAAGTCCTGTGGCCCCCGTTTAGGCTCTATCAAATCTGGAAAGGCTTTAGCTGTGGTTTTCTATTATTATTGTGAAGTAGGAAGAAAAGAGACTGGGATGGAAGTTTATTTCTAATCTGTCTGTTGGTAGATTACTGTTATGTTAGTGGCGTGGTAAGAGAGACTGGGAAAGCAGCTTATATCACTCCCTTGTATTTCTAAATCTGTTGATGGATAGAGGGACATGGCATCTCTATTGTCTCACAAGAGAGCTTTCAGAAGCATTCACAATTCAGAAGAATATGAATGTGAATTTTTCTTTCATCTCTAAATAGATCTGTTTTTCATATCCTTATATTTTAACTTTGCATTGAAATGTTCTTGTTTCATACATGATTACTTATTTGCTCCTTTTGCTTTCTTTATAGTTTGTGTAATTTCTGTGTGACTATATTGCATTATTCGGTTTTCCTTATTTTTAGTCTGATTATTCACTGTTAACACAGTAAGTCTTTATTGACTGCATACTGTGGACTACATGCCAAGTACTCAGTGCCAGGACAGAGATTCTTTTAAAGGCTGGCCACCAGGGAGCTCGGAGTGAGGGAGACGAATAGCTGGAGGTCATCATGTAATGTGGTTAGTAGGATTATTAAGATAAAGGAGACATGTGCTCTGGGAATGCACATTTCCTAACCAGAGTGTTCATCAGAGTGCTCGTGGCACTGAAAACAAACCGAACAGTAAACATTTCTGGAGGATTGGCTCAGCAGGTCTGAAAGAGAACTAACTGCCCATGTCCAGGAAAAGCCCCAGATTTTGATGTCTTGTTCAGATCAGGGCTTTATTAGAACAGTTGGAGTTGAAAATACATGTTTTAGCATGATGTGAAGCAACACAATAAGTCCATTTTTTAAAAATGTGTTTTAGGTATTGGTGTCTCTCATATATTTTTCAGTCTCATCTTACCTTTACACAGATGTCACAGATTTCTGAAATATTTCAGAAACAGAAAATTTTGTCATTAGAATGTTACATGGTATACCTTAGAATTAACATCAGTTCTAGCACAGCTTGCATATTCATGGATTCTTTTGTCTGAGAATTCAGATCACACCACAGCTGAGAGATTTATAGTAGTCTACAGCTCTGTGTGCACGCTTATACCCCCCACACTGTTTAACTGTAGACACTCTTCAAAGCTTACATTCCTAATCCCAGTGACTGGAGGCTTTTACTTGGCAACTGAATCAGTGGTTTGGCAAGTTAGAAGGCAGTCATGAAGTAGGTCAGGAAGACTCTCAAGCGCTCTGCCTTTTAAGGAAGTTTTGGTTGGGGTATTTGCAACTCTGTACTGTCATGGCTGTGGTGTAAATGTTGAACTCTGAAACTGCATCATAATTCATGGGTTCTGTGAGGTACATTTCCTCAGATGTTAGCAACTCCATAACCAGAATAAGCCTTCAGTTGACATCTAGCATTAGCTGGGATATATACATAGTAGGTAATGAATGGGTATACAGGTCTGGGTATTTGGGACCAGAGGTCTTTGACATGTTTTCTCTTCATCCTCCTCCTCCTCCTGCCATTCCATTTAATTTCATGCTCATGGAAATTAAACACTCTAACTTTTCATAAAGGGGTAAAATGACTTAAAAATCCCATAAAAAACAGAAAACCCAGTCCTTTCTACCCTTTGTCCCGGTTCCACTCCAGGGAGCTAAGAACTTTTAACAGTAATTGTTCATTAGTAATAGGTATCAGAATTACTTGGAGAGATTATTGAAAAGACACATGCTTAGGCCTCATCCCCAGGAATTTTGACCAGGAGGTCTGGAGTGAGCTCTGAGGAGTGTACATTTAAAACATCCATCAGTGGTTCAGCCCTGTCAGTCGGGATCATGCTGTGTGCTGTGAGGGTGACAAGGTTACCCTAAGAAGGGACTGGTTTCAAGTGAAGGCCCATGTGTCTTGATGATCTTCATTTTGCTAATATAATTGTTACTCAGAATCCTTAACAGAAATCTAGGGTAGAGAACATTTCATTTTATGTAATAAGAGTGTGCTGGAATTTATGTTAGTGGTAGCACTTTGTATTAAACAGAAGCTAATGTGTTTCTTAATCTGAATTTTCTGTATCCCGTTTGTTAAACTGTGTTATGTAAGTTTGGAGAATTCTTTGAAAAGAAGTCTTAGAAGTGAGAACTGTAGTGTCATTTATGAGATAGCTTTTTGTTTGCTTCAAATAACATGGTAAGAACATTAGACTTTGAAAAATGGAGCACTCTTCTTTTTCTCTTCGCAGATGGTTCTGACTCCAGAGATAAGCCAAAGCTTTACCGCCTACAGTTAAGTGTGACTGAAGTTGGGACTGAAAAGTTGGATGACAACTCGATCCAGGTGCGCAGCTCTGAGCTTCCTGCTGAGCGCTGACATTTCAGTAGGCGTAGCACTCATGCACTCTGCCGTGTTGTGTTAACAGCATGGAAGGGATAAAAATGACAGACTTTGTACTTACATTTAAGTAATCTATGTCCTGTGGGTTACTCCTTTCTGCTTTAGTGTGAAAAGAACAAAGTATGAGTTTATGTTCAAGCTCCACCGCTAGAAACTTGAGCTCATGATGACACTCCTCTGAGACCACTTCCTTTTCTCTGGAGATAGTGATGATGACTGTATAGGTTTGGTCAGGGTTACTGAGATCATCTGCAGAAATACCTGTTTACTGGGTCTGACACACACAGCAGTGGACATTATGTTCTAATTAAAATGTTAGCTGAGTACAGTTTTCAAGTACGTAAAGCAGAGCTTAACACATCCAAGTAAGTGAAGTTAAGGCTTGACACTTTATTGAAGTTGAACTCAGGTAATTCACCCTTACTCTGTACTTCTTGTTGTTCAATTGCAAAATGATAGGTTCAGATTGTAAACATCATTTTCAGTTCTACCAGTCCTTCATTCTTAGTACAACAGTTAAAAAAAAGAAAAGAAATAGGAATTTTTAAATCATAATGATGATTTGTTTATTAGTTATCTAATAAATGCTTGTTAAGATGACTACTTGCTTTTAATGCAAAGTTACTATATGTCTTGAAGTTACTGGATGCTAAAAATAAAAGGTCAAAAGGTTTTTGATATACTATTGAGAGAGATCCATTTTAAAAAGCACTAAAAGTACAGGGCTTATTAGATTATATCTGTCATTAAAAGGGTGCTCACAGTTTTAAAATTCTGTTTTTTAATACTGTGTACTTCATGATGGGAGTTTCTTTGGTTTCCTTCTGTTTTAGTTGTTTGGGCCAGGAATTCAGCCCCATCACTGTGACCTCACCAACATGGATGGAGTGGTCACTGTGACACCTAGGAGTATGGACGCAGAGACCTATGTGGAAGGCCAGCGCATCTCAGAGACCACCATGCTGCAGAGTGGCATGAAAGTGCAGTTTGGGGCATCACATGTATTTAAGTTCGTGGACCCCAGCCAGGATCATGCTCTTGCAAAAAGATCTGTGGATGGGGGCCTGATGGTTAAGGGCCCAAGATATAAACCTGGGTAAATATTAGAGATTAGCCATAAGATTTAGAGTGTTTTGATTATACTTAAGGTAATTTGAATTATGCATTGATGACTTGACTTTTATTTTTTTTGTTTCAGTTTTTAAAAAAATCAAAATGGGGTTTGTGATTCTGATTTTTATTGTTATCTTGGGTTGGTTTTAAAGAAAAGAAGACAAAAATCTTGACTTTATCTTAAAATTGCAAGTTCTAACTTATTTGAAGTAATTTTAATTGAATTTAGGTTTTGTGTTTTTTTAGCCAATATACTAAAACAGTACCTGCTCCTTTGTTAAAAATCATGGTGTCCTATGTATAACTAAGATTTTTAAAATTTGTTTTATTTTTTCCCTCTATGGCTGATAATGAAACATATTAACATCTTTAAGAAATTCAGAATATTTTAGTGCCACCTGGTGCTCTTCTGAGGATTTGCATTGTGGGACTAGTACAGGATAACATTTTCCTAATGACTGTGTAGTTTGACTTTTTTTGTGGTGTGGTAGTATGACTTCTCCTTTGCTTATGATAATTTTAAAAACATAATAAACTTTTTAGCTACTTTATTTTCTATTTTTTTGATAGGGTATTGATCTTGGAAAAATAGGTGCAATAACTTTTCCCTCATGCTGTTTAAAGCAACTCAAAAGCCTGCTGCAGTGTAAACTTTCTGTGTGAAGACCGCACACATAAACCAATGTGTTGCTTGTCATTTGTAGATTCCTTTCCCGTTGTTTTGTTTCATGGTATACCTTTGGTTGGCCACCCAGAGCTTACCCTTTGGGCCAGGTGTGACTTTTAAGAGTGAATGTCTTTCTCCAAGATGAATACTTTGTGGATTATTACATGTATTCAGTTGGGCAAATGGGATATTTGGAAAATCCACAGACAGATTAAGATCTTTTCCCAGTCTCTCACCTCTCCTTGATCTCCAAGTTCCAGCAAATGACCATGCCTCCTACTTCTCATAGAACATCAGCATATGCTTTTACTGGCTACTTCCCAGGAAAGTCCATCTCTTTCTAACACTTTCTTCTTTTAAAAAAAATGTGTGTCTAAACTCTCATTCTTTCATTCTGTGTCTGAAACAGTTTGTTTCCTCTTCCTCTCTGAAGGTGATTTTTTTCATTTGTCAGCCATGTTCCTGTTTCCTGGCCCTTGTCATTAGCGTTCCATGGGCTCCTTCCTTTAGCAGGTAGCCATACTCTCATGTCAAGCGTTTTCCATTCAGTTGTCCGCTTTTTTTCAGCCCTGTTTCTCCTCTTCAGCTTCGGACATCTTGACTGGGTATGTCCTGACTTCCCATTTGTTTTTAGGCTCACAAAGTTTGACCAAAGAGATCATAGCATGAAACAGTTTCTTCTGCTGTGTTGCTTATTGTCTTTCAGCAGTACCTACAGTTATTTCTTCTTGCTTATAAGTGCCCTTAATTTTTGAGTTGTAATAAGTTTGTTGTGATGTGTTACTTAGTAGTGTTAGTTATTGTCATGTCTGTTGCTGTGCATAAACACAATTCTAGGAGCAGTCTTTGTCCTACAGCTAGCCAGCCCTTCAGTTTTGCATGTTATGTTTTTGTGTGTGGCATAATCAGTCTCCTACTGTGCTTTTGCCATATTTTTCCTCCTTTGGAATTCTGCAGTTGTCTCTTCTTGCCATATCTCTAACAGAAAGCAGCGATCATGTAGGAATATGGCTTAGGTTTCAATGAGGAAAATGTCTGCAAAATTTTGTTAAGTATTTTTCTGGCAAAACTAGTAACTGCATAAAGTTGTGTGCAGAAAGTTGACCATTTTTTGACCTTTAGTAAACACTTTTATTTTTTCAAAAGTTACCATTTTAGGCCAGGCTCGGTGGCTCAGTCTGTAATCCCAGCACTTTGGGAGACCGAGGTGAGTGAATTGAGGAGAGTACGGGCCTCAACCTGCTAGGCTCCGGCGATCCTTTCGCCTCAGCCTTCCAAGTAGCTGGAAGTATGGGCACACGCTACCACAAGGTGAGACCTCATCTCTTCAATAAATCAAACATGAGCCGGGTGTGGTAGCGTGTGCCCGTACTTCCAGCTATTTGGAAGGCTGAGGCGAAAGGATCGCCGGAGCCCAGCAGGTTGAGGCTGCGGTTGCCGGGGGCATGCCACCCCACTCCAGTCTGGGCAACAGAGTAAGACTCCAACACACATACACACACACACACAAAAAGTTACCATTTTAAAGCGTGGTATTATTTTACATTACAGGATGGTTTTATTTGTACCGACTTTTCTAATTTGAAAAATCAGTTTGAATATCTACATTACTTTTTTGTTTCATGCTATGGATTGAGTGAAATAAAGATTCTCGTTACCATGCAGCTTTGAAATTAGACCTTATATTTTTCAAATATTTTAGCGCAATGTTTCGTTATTTTTTATTATCTTATGCAGAAATCCAGGAAACTTACTAATTGTTGTTGGCTTTTTAGGGTTTGTTTGTTTGTTTGTTTTGGTTGGGCCTCTCTGATGGATTGGACCCAGTGGATTGTATTCATCCTTCATTTGTGCTGAAGCATGCACCCTGTCTTGGCTTACTGGACTCTTCAAAAGGAGAAATTTTGTTTATATTCTGAGTTAATTTTTCATGATGCTTCTAAACACTTAATCATATTTAGAAGTTTTGGTATTTTTAGATATTTTAAGAATCAGTTTAAGCTAGGATAACTCTTGGTTTGATTACTAACATCAGAAATTTCCCATTTTAAAATTTGGAGCCTAAATAGTGATATTTGTGTACTTAAAAAAAATCATCACAATGGCTTTCAAATAGCAGGGAAGTCAGCCCTGTTTCTCATCCCTCTGTGGGTCACTAGCACCTTCTCTGTGTCCATGGATAGAGTCCTAGGCCCCGCAGTCTTCTATACTTCACTTCATTTATGTGCCATTTGCAGTCTACATGGACTTACATAATGAAGTAACCTTTTTTTCTTTATGTTCAGTGTTTTTTAAAGTATAGTTTTAAAAATAATCATCCTGAGAGTATTGAGTATACACTAGTATGTATCAGTTCATAAAGTTGATGGTTTTTAATTCTATAAGTTCATGTGCTGAAAATAAGACAATTAGTTGAAGATCTTTGAACATTGGGCTATTTAGCTGACTGTTCCTTGCATATTAAGATGAGACTATGCCTTGTCATTTGAAAGTTATTAAATTAGTGTGTGTTTTTTTTAAATCCCAACAGAATTGTTCAGGAGACAACTTTTGACTTAGGAGGAGATGTTCATAGTGGGACAGCATTACCAACAAGCAAGGTGAGTAATTGTCTGCTATCTGATAGGGCTGTGTTTCTTTAACTTTGTAGGACACCATGGATGAATATAATAGGTCCTCCCTTCATGGGAGATACGTTCCAGGACCCCCAGCAGATGCCTGAAACTGCGGAGCACACAGAACCCTATACATATTGTATTTTTCTGTACATATGTATCTATGACAAAGTTTAATTTATAAACTCAGCACAGTAAGAGATTATTAATAATTGAAAATAAAATGGAACAATTATAACAATATGCCGTAATAAAAGGTACATGAATGTGGCCTGTCTCTCTCCCTCTCTTACTGTATTGTACTCATCTCTTTTGAACCACGGTTGACCATGGGAAACTGAAACTATGGGAAGTAAAACTTCGGATAAGGGGACTGCTGCATACTGGTGGTGTTCATACTTACACAACTAACTCCCTGGGAAAAACAGACTTGCCAGTGACCCCTGAATGTGGACTGTCCTGATCTGCTGTGTTACCTCTTAGCAATGCCTAGAAGAAAGCCAGCAGATCATCCCTTTATCCTGATAGTACACTTCCTCACCAGAGGAGCCTGCTATTTCCTAGGCTTCTGCTGGTGACCAACCCTTCTCAGCAGATCACCCATAAAGATAATACAGCCCTGCTCTTGTGAGCCCCTCAGTGCTGGTACTAGATGCCATTCATCCATTGACCTTCTCTGACATTTTGCTTCTACAGTTATCCCTTATCTGTTGCATGACCTGTTCACTTCTTGTTTTGGTTATCTACTGCTGGATAACAAACTCAGTGGCCTAAAACAACAGCCATTTTATTTGTTTACCATTGTATAATCCGACTTGAGCTCATCTGGACAGTTTGTTTGCTGGTCTTGCTGGTCACTTGTGTGGCTACATTCAGCTAGCAGGTCAGTTGGTGCCCAGTTGCTGGAATACAAGGTCCACAGACCTCCCTCTCTCTGTGTGGTCTCAGGTCCTCTCCAGAGGACCACTGGCCCACTGGGGCAGCCAGAAGTCTTGGTCTTATGGTCCCTCACAGGCACCACAGAGCTTTCAGGCCTTCTTGAGGGTTAAACCCAGGACTGACTCAGCATCAGTGTCTCTGACTTCCATTGGTTAGATCAGGTACAGGCTCAGCTCAAATTCAAGAGGCTGGGGACTACTCAAGATGCTCTTCATTGATGGCCACACTGTAACAGTCTTCTGCAGCCCTGGAGCACTCTCAGTGTCAGAACATGTTCTAGTAGCTTCCATTTTGAAAAGCCCTTTAGGCCCCTCCAGCTGTTGACCCCAATTTTCTGGTTTATAGCACAGTTTCTTGAAAACACCATCCGTGGTTGCTCTCTCCATGTCCTGACTCCGTACTCTTTCCTCTGCTTCCCTGATTCCCAGATCGGTCTCATGTTGTCCAGTCTTACTTGTCACAGCTGTTTTTAGCTACTTTAGGCCTCCACTGCTTACTTGACCAGTACATCACTCTCCTGATTCCTCCTTCACCCAGAGATGGTTCCTCTCAGTCTGATTTGTTGGTACTTCTTGTGTGTGGCTTCTGAAGTGTGGAGGGTCAAGGTTTCAGGCCTGGGGTCCTATTTCTTCTGTGTATGCATCTTCCCTAGGTTGTCTTACTGTGTTGCCTAAGTTTAAATACCATCTAATGTTAATTATCTCCTCCTGTGGACCTTTGCCCCGACCTCTCCAGACTCCTGTTTTGAAAGGCTTGCTGGACATACACACTTGGATGTCCTGTACACATTTCAGATTTAACATAGCTAAGGCAGACTAGATTTTCTTTCTCAAACATAACTTCTTTCTTGCATATGTCCCCATCTTAGTAAATGATACTACCATCCACAGCATTGCTCCACCAGAAACTTGTTCCCGGTTCCTACTGCTTCTCTGCCTCTTTTGGCTTAGGCTGCAACCATCATGTAGTGGGAGGACCGTGGAACCTCTCCAGTAGCAGTCTTCTCTCTGTCTTCTCCTAGTCCTCTCTGTACCCTCCCCCAACCCTCCCCTTGCCCTCTCCCTGTCCTCCCCCAGCCCTCCCCCTGCCCTCCCCCTGCCCTCCCCCAACCCTCTCCCTGCCCTCTCCCAGCCCTCCACAGCCAGCTCCCTGCTCTCCCTCAGCCTTCTCCCTGCCCTCTCCCTCCCCCCGCAGTCCTCCCCCAACCCAAGCCCAGCCCTCCCCAGCCATCTTTCTGTTCCCCAATGCCCTCTCCCTGCCCCCAGCCCTCTCCCTCCCCTCCCCCTTCCTTCTCCCTGTCCTCCCCCTTCCCTCTCCCTAACTTCTCCCTG